ATTAGGTAAATAGAGCATTAACATTAGAGCAAGAAGGGCTGGTCAAACGTTCATGGCTCAATACAATCTCACAGGCATCTGACCAGAAAGGAAATACAGCTCCATGTGGGTGAAAGAAAAACGAGAGCTTTTATATGCAATAATATTTATTGTGCTATTTGAAGTTTGGATAACAATTGTAAACCACACGTGTGCATACACGTGTATGGACTTATAATAAATAGTTAATGAAATCTGGAGCATAAATCTGGATACAAATGCCGCTGCTGATCTCCTTCTATATATATATATGTGATGGACCCAGCCAAAACACAATCCTCAGGTTTTCCAGACCTGGATCTAAATCCAAATGTCGTGGCTCATGCCCACCCCTACTTCTTTTCAAGGAACTCATTCATCAGTGGTGTGGACATTTCCCTGGACTTTATTTTAGCTGCCAGAGATTTTTTGGCATTTTATAATAAGACTAATTGCAGCGCATGTGAGCCCCAAGGAATGAAGTCTCTTCTCTGCTTTAAAATTAGTAGCTGTGACTGCCAAAGTGACACGCAGAAATATTTTGGAGGGCAGATAGAAAGCTTGATGAGAGTTTCCAAGGCCACACAACAAAGTGCTGACTTTTTCAACTTAACAAATACTTCTCTTCCTTTATTCCTGTGAGACACTACAGCCTAAATAAGTAGAACTAGCAACTCTTGGGCTTAACCACTTCATTTCCCCTCCACAAGCTTTCATCTCCCTTTCTGCACAGCTCACTTCTCTTCCTGGCTGTTTTGAATATTGGTTCCTTGGCTAATAAAACTTTACAAGTGATTTTGAAAACAAACAATACTATATTATCCCTTTTTTTTAACTCGTGAAATAAATATTCCATCAAAGAGACTTTTATGTCTCACAGTGGCAGTTCTCAAATGACCAGCATGGTATCATGTTCAAAACAGGGCACGGTCCATTTTTACAGTAGATTTACTCAATCACAGTTACTAATCGGATTAGTACTGCTTTTATGTCTGACAAATTTTTAAAAGTTGGGACTCATTAAAGCACTTGCATATAGAGAGCTTACAGTGCAGCACTGTGTTTTTCCAGGTAAGCATTTCTGCTTTGAAACAAATAAAACAATAATTTTTCATGCATGTAGAAGGTAAGTTGCTCTGCTAGGTTGCAGTGCCACCAAATATTGAAGTTCATCTCCACTGAGCAAAAGTTGTGTTCATGTGTGTAGTAAGGAAAGAATATCCAATTAGAAGGTAGGGTAGGTCAAGTGCTAGGAAGGAGCTCGTGCATGCCACTAATCTAATGTGAAAACATTTCCTTACACCTTGCTCTTCCTTCTTGAACATACGCAAGACTGAAACCTTCCAAATGAACTGCAGCTTTCTATACTGTTTCTTCACAACTGAATCAAGTTGAAAACTTAATGTGAGCCAGCAGTGTGCTCTTGCAGCTCGGAAAGCATATGGTATCCTGGGCTCCATCAGAAAAGGCGTGGCCAGCAGGGACAGGAAGGTGATTGTCCCTCTCTACACTGCCCTCGTGAGGCCCCATCTGGAGTACTGCGTCCAGGTCTGGAGCCTCCAATACAGGAAAGACAGGGAGCTGTTGGAGAGGGTCCAGAGGAGGGCCACGAAGATGATCAGGAGACTGGAGCACCTCCCCTATGAAGACAGGCTGAGGGAGCTGGGCTTGTTCAGCCTGGAGAAAAGAAGGCTGTGGGGTGACCTCATTGCAGCCTTTCAGTATCTAAAGGGAGCCTACAAACAGGAGGGAGTCAACTCTTTGAAAGGGTAGATAACTGCAGGACAAGGGGAAATGGTTTTAAGTTGAAGGAGGAATGATTTAGGTTGGATGTCAAGGGAAATTTCTTTACTATGAGAGTGGTGAGGTACTGGAACAGGCTGCCCAGAGAGGTTGTGGATGCCCCATCCTTAGAGGAGTTCAAGGCCAGATAGGATGGGGCCCTGTGCAGCCTGGTCTAGTATCAAACGGAGAGGTTGGTGGCCTTGCTTGTGGCAGGGGGATTGCAGATTCTTGAAAGTCAACTCTATTTTAGTTTTAAAAGACTGTTACCAAAAGATTGTCTTGCTAAAATCACCACAGATGCTTATGTCTGCAAATGGTTCTTCTGCTGCTCTCCAATATGCATGCAAATAAGTAAACTTTGCACCATCATTAAAATACTTTTATTTGCGTGAGGTTGGACAGTTGGAAGTAAAAATTAGATTTTCAATGGCAAAGAAAAAAAATGTATTTAATATATTTTTTTAACATTAATCAATTATGCTGGAAGGATTTAAGTAGAAATGGATATACTAGAATATGAAATATATTGTTACTTTTTATAATGAAATATAGTCTTGCATTATACATGCTCTCTATAAACACTAACATTATGAGAAAGCAAATGGGTTAGTATCAGCTAAGCACAAGTCAGGAAAAGATCAAACTAAATTTCCACACTGAAGTTTATCCTCTGTCCCCTGTGTATGTGCATTGCTGTGAGATCTTTGACATTAATATCATATGTCATTTTTCCAAGCAATAAAGTGCAGTAGCATATATCTTTTAAAAATATACTTAATTCACAGTATAGATACAGGTATAATGGAGTCTCGCTGTCTGCAGGCCAGCTTTCTTCTTTGGAAAGGAAAAACAAAATAAAGATAGAACCTAAAAGTTGAGGCCTCCTCTGCAAGATTTCAAAGTTGTGCAGATCTTCAGAGTAACAGCAGTATAGGAATATAAACATATCTAGCTATTTATTAACAGAGCTATTAACTAGTCTGAGGGAGACACTATTAATACATTTCTTTCTCTTTTTTGTGGTCAGGGAGGAGTTTCAGTGAAAAGCAGGAGAGGAATCCATTGGATTTTTTTTCACCCCACACCATTAACTCCTCAAGAGTCTCAGAGAGGAACACCCTCAGCTGAAAAACATCCTAAGCTCTAATGGTATGAAACAAACAACTAACGCACGTAAACATTCATTCCTAAATTTAAGTAGATACCTAAACCCCAGCTGAATACGAGCCAGCAGTGTACCCAGGTGGCCAAGAAGGCCAATGGCATCCTGGCTTCTATCAAGAATGGTGTGGTGAGTAGGACTAGAGAAGTCATCCTGCCCCTGTACTCAGCACTGGCCTCACCTCGAGTACTGTGAACCTCAGTACAGAAAGGACACTAAGGTTCTGGAGAAGGTCCAAAGAAGGGCAACAAGGCTTGTGAAAGGCTTGGAGAATATGCCCTATGAAGAGAGACTGAAGGAACTGGGGCTGTTTAGTTTGGGGAAAAGGAGGCTGAGGGGAAACCTTATTGCTCTCTTCCAATATCTGAAATGTGCTTACAGAGAGAGAGGGGTTGGTCTCTTCTCACTGGTGACAGGTGACAGGATGAGGGGAAATGGCCTCAAGTTGCACCAGAGTAAGTTTAGGTTGAATACCAGGAAAAACTTCTTGACAGAAAGGGTTGTTAAGCACTGGAATAGGCTCCCCAGGAAGGTATTTCAGTCACTATCCCTGAATGTGTTTAAAAACCGTTTGGATGTGGTGCTCAGGGACATGATTTAGCAGAAGGTTGTTAGAGTTAGGGTAGTATGGTTAGGTTGAATTTGGTCTTGATTATCTTTAAGGTCTTTTCCAACCTGAGCAATTCTATGATTCTATGACATACTGGTCATAGGATTTCGCATGTATAAACTCCTGGCATGTTACAGGTTCCAGTATCTCAGCCTGTTTACTTAAAAAAAAAAAAAAGTTAAAAAAAAAAATTTTAAAAACCGCATATATTCCAAAGTCTTTGATAAGAAACACCATATTAACAGTATTAATCCATTTCCACAAACATACAATAAAAGCACTGCCAACAAAGTTCACAGTAAATATACTCAATATTGGAATAAAGAATTACCATAGGAAGCCCCCAAACTCCAGGTTCATTTGCTGGGACCAGCAAGCCCTATAATAGAGCAACATTTCCCCCATCAGCAGGTCAGGAGAAAAGGCATATTTCATGCTCACGTTGCTGACCCAGACCTCTGGCTGAAAAGGAATGATATTAATGTGCTCTGGAGTAGGTTTATCTGACTCTTAATCAGCAAGCCGTTAGCCTGACAAAAGGGTCAAAGTAGGGAGTATAAAACACACTGGTATAAGAGCGATCCATGGGATTTCCAGAAAAGGCTTGGAAAAAGAGAGTCTGTGGCACTTCCTCTAATTATTTTTATTACCGTGATTGACTTCAAAACAGCAGCAGCTCAGGAAAAGAAGTGGGAAGGTAAAACCTTGACCTGATTGAAATTGATGGGAATTTTATTACTGACCTCACTGAGATAAAACGTGACTTTTCCCTAAGTTTAAGAGAGTACCTGCTTGTTTTGAGCACTTAAATACTGCATGATATTATTCAGCCTGGAGAAGGCTCAGGCAGCCTTGCAGTACTTAAAGGGAGCTTTTAAGCAGGAGGGAAATCAAGTTTTTACACCTTCTTGTAGTGATAGGACAAGGTTTTAAGCTAAAAGAGGGAGATTCAGATTAGATATTACTGAGAGAGTGGTGAGGCATTGGTACAGGCTACTCAGAAAGCTGTGGGTGTTCCATCCTTGGAGGTGTTCAAGGCCAAGTTACACAGGCCCTGGACAGCCTGAGCTGGTGGGAGGCAGGGATTAGGGCTAGCTGATCTTTTAGGTCCTTTCCAACCCAAGCCATTTTATGATTCTATGAAGATAACCAAGAATTTCGGTGAAACTGAGAAATTTTCCCCTGATTTCCTTTGCAAATTAGGCTGTCAAATCAAAAAGTGTGGTTTCTCTCTTTCTTGCTGGGTGTGATTCCCTAGCATCTCTATGGGGCCTGATTGCACTGATCAGCTTTAATTGCCCTGACCAGCCTCACCTGGAGCCTCCACTGCACCTTCTGCTCCTGGGCCTAGGATCTCCATTTAAGTTCAGGCCCGAGCTCTTCTTGTTGGTTTCTTAATTTGTTTTGTGGTGTTTCTGTGGTGGAGCTGGCTTTTTTTCTAATTTAATTCCAGCTTCTAGATACATATCCTGTGCAGGAGCCTTGCTACTGATCCTTATATTGCTGTTTCTCACCTCTGTCCTGGATGGGCTTGGAGCCAGAAACCTTACATTTTTGGAGAGGATCCTTTGCTCCTGGCCCATCCCTGCTTGTGGTGCTCCTCTGCTTCTGCTGCTATCTGTAGTATTCCTTCCCAGAATGAAACGCCCAGTTGAAGCTGATGCTGCTGACAGTGGAAACCTTTTCTGGTAAGAAATTTATCATTTGGTAGGAATAATGCAGTAGAGAAAGGCATTGTTCAGGTCTACTTGTGATCTTTCTGCTTTGTTAAAATTTTATAAAAACTATGTTATTGATAGAGTCAGTAGTTTCTTCCATTATTTCAGAAAGGAAATGGAAGCTATAGGCTTCTAATGCACTTTTGCTAGACTAGTGACAGTTAATTCCATATATAGCAGCTGTTATCTGGAAGACTTTGATAACAATAAATTCATGTTATATATAAAGTGACACTGTTGGCTGCTTTCCTATGTGGAGCGATAGCATTTGTGCTGCTTGGCTCATTTTAAACAAAGCTGTTATCCCCAGGAAAGCATAGAAGTTTAAGTGAAATAAATAAACTTTACAAAAAACAGTTGCATCAGCATGCAAATGTGTTCCTCATCAGAGCATTATGTTCCATCCTTTAAAGAAGTTTGTAAACTAATGCACATCAAGGGATACTAGTGTATAGCAGACAATTGGTAATTGGATGCAGGGTGCTTCATTATTCCAGCAGGCTAAGAACTACAATTCCAGGTCAGTAGACTCATGTTTATTTTCTGGTTTCATTGCCTTTTCAGGTTACTTATATCAATGATAGATGTTAGCCCCACTTCTCCATGGGATACACCTTAATTTAAAGGCTTGTGTCCTGTTCCTGTGTATGCAGTAGTCTGTATCTGTCTCCCTCCTTCCACGAACTTCAGTGTTCTGAAGGCACTCACATATTTAAGTCTTTTCTTTACTTCTAAGGGAGCTTTTTAGGTAGTGTTCTACTGAAAGTGGAATAGTACTTCTTCATTGTCAGTTCACAGTTCCCAGGGCTTTCCTTGTTTTCACACCAGAGCAATGACAGCATTGGCCTGTTTTCTGGGAAGGCTGGAGTAGCCATTGCCAGTCCTCTGCTGAGCTGTTTATTTTCTATTTCCCTAGTATGGCACTGAGAAAGTTGGATTCAGTAGTGTCAGTGCAGTGATTGGAACTGACATATTCAAACCATTGTGGTTTTTTCAAGCAAAAAAAAATCCATTTGTTGTTTTTTCAATTTCCTTTTTTATTTTTTTACTCTGACATTGTGGTAGGTGGTTACCCTAATTAGCTGTCCTTTAGGCTGCTAATGTGCTTGTGGCAATCCATTCCTATTAATGTTTTCAAGTAATCATTAACAAATTAGAACTGCATGCTTAAGATGTGGATCTCCATAAGTTCAATTTTCTGCTTCATTGCAAAATTAATGGTGTATCGTAGTCTGGACTACAAATTCCAATAGTTGCCTTATATGAAAAATAACACTGTTTGGTCTCCAGGTCCTGTATGTCTTATGCTTTTCCAGTCCTGAGGGGAAAGGTATTTTATACTGGTGGTGTGAAAATGATACAAGTTCCTGACAAAACTGTATCTGTATTCGGTAGATATGAAGCTGGTATGTATTCAGTAAGACCTCCAAGAATTTGTCTTCTGTAATTTTTCTTCAATAGCTGAGTAAACTCTCACAATGTCTTATCATTCAACGCATCCTATGGAAAGAGTTTCCATAGCGTGTAAGTCTCTCCTTTTGATTTGAAAATGGCACATTTCTTTTCTTTGATGTCTCTTTGTTCTCCTATCACAAGAGATGGGCAAATCGGGAGTGGTAATTTGCTTTTCCACATCAATAGCAATTTTAGCCACCTATTGTATGCTACCTTTCAGTTCACGCTAGTCTGAAGTTTTGGTATATTCTGCTCTTTTGTGTGAAAGATGTAATATCGCTTTGATTTTGCTGGTCTCCTGGTGGGTATCTTTTGTAATTATACTGTATTATTTATAAGAAGGTATGGTAGGACTTGAGGTCAGCATGCTGCAGAGTTGTAGAATTGCATAGTATTCTTGCAATGAACAATCCACTCAGAAAAAGGTTGAGAAATAAAATCTTGTATCAGTTTGAAGTTCAAGTGCACTCTGTCTTCTGGCTTGAAGAGAAGGCAAACCTACAGACCATCTACCAAGTCAGAGGATGTACTCATTAACACAAGTAACTTTAAACAGCTTAAGCTGCCTTCATTTAAACTACTATTCAGTCAACTAATTCAGAGCTTGATCAAACTGAAGTTAAGTCTAGGGCAATAGAGGACTGAAATATTCTTCTGTAACAATCAGAGATTTATTTGTGAACCTTAGAACAATTCCCTAATTCTTCAGGTAAATACAAATCCCTTAACCTGTATTTATGTGCTATCTGTATTTACTGTTGAGCTATAGATGTGCTCAAGCCCTTGAGCTGAGTACTTTGCCAGAGCTTTGGCTGCTTGTTTGCACTACTGAAGTTCTCATCTAGGGGTAACTAAGGCAATTTAACCTCAGAATTAAAACAAAATAAATGAAAAATGTCTTATTTAACACTAACAGAAATGAGTAACGTTGATGCCAATTAGCAGATTGTAATTTTTCTGCAAGCTTTTAACATTCAGATTCCTGCTTCCTTGTAGTTGTTTTTTTCCTTTTTTTTTTTTTTTCAGGCTGACATTGATTAAATTAAGAGTCTAACTTGATGGGGGTATGATGGGTTGAAACTGTGCCTTTATTTGTGTTATAAATGATGGATAAATAGAGAAACTCCACCCCTGGCATTGTCAGCCTCCCGTCTTTGTACACCAGGTTAAAAGATTCCCTCACAGTTAGCGACAGAAGTAGGAAACAGGACTGTGATCCAAAACATTGCTTAGGAATAATTTCCATCCCTTAATCACATTCCTTATTCTAATAATTAGTCAGCTAAGTCTTCAAAATGGAGAATGTTTTTCACAAACTGAACTTCTGACATGATTACCATGCAAGGAAATGATCGTGC